TTTAGGGGTTTAGGGTTCCTTGAAGGGATCTGTAAGTAAGGAGGGGTGTTAAGGGTTCCTTAAAGGGATCTATAAGGGTTTAGGGATTAGGGGTTTAGGGTTTAGGGGTTTTCGAAGTTGCTTTTGGCGGGCTTGGAGTTTGGGGGGTTTGGAGGGTTTTAGCTCTTCCTGCTACCCCGAGACTCCAATATCACTTAATTGAGGAATATACTTTAAATTATAGTAGGATCCTTAGTATGATTCAAAGTATATTCCTTAATTGAGGGATATTAGAGCTTAATGCTTAGAATTAGGGTTTTGGGCCTGCGGTATATTGTACTACATTTACCCAAACCTCCGGAAGGATCTAAAAAGTAGATCCCCTAGTTTGGGACCCTATACTACTAAGGGCCTTATGGGATCTATTTTAAAACGAGGAACCGCCAACAAAAATGTTAGATTTAGGCTTTTATAGGAGTTTCAGCTTCCAGAGGCACTTTTTGAGGGAATTGCCAGGGAAGCCAGAAACTTCAAACCCCGTTTAATGTAGGGGCCTTAACAATTAGAATAGGGTTTGGAGTATACTATGCTACAAATTTTGAAAGGAACCCCCAAAAAGTAGTCTAGGCAATTATTAAGGCCCCCTATAGCAACAAAGCGTCATGGCACTCACAACCCATTCCTCACAGGTTATGACGAGTTGTTCCGACCCCTACATTACTTACTTCGTGCGGCTGTGGGGCTACTGGCAAAGCATGTGCCGCAGCTAGAATGCGGCACGAACCTGAACGGAAATGACCTTCACACATGGGTATGTCTTCCTGTCGAAAGCGCCCTGCCCTAAACCCTAAACCCTAAACCCTATACCCTGAACCCTAAACCCTAAACCGTGTGGTTATTCTAGGTGAACCTTAAAACCCTAAGCCGCAACACAGGCGAAGCAGTCCTTTGCTTCAAAGTACCCCTAAACCCTAAAACCCCAAAACCCCTAGACCCTAAACCGTTAAACCCTTAAACCCTTAAACCCCTAAACCCTGAAAGCCCTAAACCCTTAAACCCCAAAACCCGAAAAACCTCAACCCCAAAACCCTTAAACCCCAAAACCCCTAAACTCCTAAACCCCAAAACCCCGAACCTCTAAACCCCTAAAGCCCTAAACCCCTAGGCCCCCCTTACTTAGGGGTTCACGGGACTTAGTAACTATGGTTTTAAATAAAGTAACTATACTTATACTTACTTCTAACCCCAATTAAGGTACTTGTACTTGCTACTTGCTAAGTCCCATACAAACCCTAAACCCCTACTGATCCCTTAAGGGACCCCCGCCCTAAAGCCCGCCAACCCTGAACCCTAAACCCTAAACCCCAAACCCTTAAGCCCAAACCCTAAACCCTATACCCTAAACCCTAAACCCTAAAACCCTAAAACCCGAAGCCCTAAACCCCGAACCCTAAACCCTAAACCAAGTAGGCGGGAGCCCATCGTCTGAGCGCTGGACCCCTATAGGTGCCTTAAAGGAACCCCTTAAGGAACCCTAAGGTATATGGGTGGTTTTCTAAATTAGGGTCCCTTTGTAGGTCCCCAATATAGCGCGGCACCCTTATAAAAAAGAACCCTAAAAGGGGCCCTAATCTAGAAAACTACCAACCTCAAACCCAAAACCCTAAACCCTAAAGATCCCCTATAGATCCCTTAAAAGAACACTAAACCCTAAACCCTAAACCCTCCCCCTAAACCCTAAACCCTAAACCCTAAACCCTAACACAAGGACCCTTAAGGGGACCCTTAAGGGGACACTAAACCCCCTTTTTTAAGGGGATTCTGGGTCCCATCGGCTCAGCGCTGGACCCCCAACTCCAGGTCTCCTCCTGCGCCTCGGAAGGGAGCTCCGGGCTTTTTGGTGGTTTAGGGTTTAGGGTTTAGGGTTTAGGATTTAGGGTTTAGGGTTTAGGGTTCAGGGTTCAGGGTTTTTGGTTTTTTTGTTTTTGTTTTTTGGGGTGTCCTCTAAGGGATCCTGGGGTTCCTTAAAGGGATCTATAAGGGTTTAGGGATTGGGGGTTTAGGGTTGTTGAGGGTTTTGAGGGGTTTAGGGTTTGGGGGTTACGTGTTTAGGGGTTTAGGGTCTGCGGGTTCTGAGGGTTTAGATTAGGGGTTTAGGGTTTAGGGGTTTAAGGGTTTAAGGGTTCCTTAAAGGGATCTGTCAGTGTTTAGGGATTCGGGGCTTAGGGTTTAGGGTTTTTTGGGGTTTATGCCGGGTCCCTTCAAAGGGTTACTATATACAGCAAGGCTTGCTATAAGGGTCTATGTTCTGCTGAATTAGACTCATATAGGGTCACTCTTAGATTAGGGTTGTGGGGTCTGTTGTAGTATACTTAGAAGTACGGCGCCCTACCGAGAACGGGCACCATGTTCTAGTTGAGCAGATCCGTCAATAACGTTTGCCATGCGGAATCATAAACGGCAATATTGTCAGCGCTGCGGCAGTGTTAGGATCCCTTTCGGATTCTTGTGGAGATCTTGTGCAGTGCTGCAAGGCTGTGAAGAGAAGTGTGCACACATGGCAGTCCGCACTTCCTGGGGGTAACAAAGAGTCGCCGAGGACGTGTGACGACAAGCAAGGAACAACACCCTTGACAAATCCTCACCGCAGGAGCAACCAGGCTGGCTCGTCGACGCTGGCAACGCCACTACAGAAGCTCCAAGACGGAGAAATGGAAGTCAGCATAGTTGCAACATGTTCTTCAGTTGATCCTGAGCAGCAAAGCTGTCACCACCAGAGTCGGCCTTACCCCAGGTTACGACCGATCTGTCACCAAGGATGGCAGCACAAGCGTTGTAATTGCCTTGGATCTGCTGCACATTCTTCAGCTGATCCTGCACGGCACTGCTGTCACCACCACGCTCAGCGTCACCCCAGGTGACGACGGATCCATTGCCAAGAATAGCAGCAAAACCGCGGCCAAAGGATTGGATTTGCTGCACATTCTTCAACTGATGTTGGACAGCACTACTGTCACCACCAAAAGCGGTGTCAATAGCACCCCAGGTCACGACCGAGCCATCCCCACGAATGGCAGCAAAAGCTGCTTGAGATGCCTGGATCTGCTGCACATCCGTCAGCCGATCCTGCACAGCATTGCTGTCAGCAGAACCAAAGCCGAGACCACCCCAGGTTACAACCGAGCCATCGCCAAGGATGGCAGCAAAATCGTAGTAAGAAGCTTGGATCTGCTGCACATTCTTCAGCTGTTCCTGCACAGCACTAGCGTCCCCGCCATAGCCAGCAGGACCCCAAGCCACAACGGACCCATCTCTCAGAATGGCAGCAAAGGCGCCGCAGCGGGAGGCTTGGATGTGCTGCACATTCTTCAACTGATCCTGAACAGCCTGGCTGTCACCACCAGAATTAAAACGACCCCATGTCACCACAGATCCATCACCCAGAATGGCAGCAAATGCACAAATGGTGGCTTGAATCTGTTGCACGTTCTTCAGCTGATCCTGCACAGCACTACTGTCGCCACCACTTCCAGCAGTGCCCCAGGTCACGACGGATCCATCGCCAAGAATGGCAGCAAAGGCACTGTCCGAAGCTTGGATCTGCTGCACATTCTTGAGCTGGTCCTGCACAGCACTACTGTCCCCACCAGATTCATCATCACCCCAGGTCACGACGGAGCCATCGCGAAGAATGGCAGCAAAAGCACAAAAAGAGGCTTGGATTTGCTGCACATTTGTCAGCTGAGCCTGCACGGCACTGCTGTCGCCACCAAAATAAGCATAACCCCAGGTCACCGCAGATCCATCGCCAAGAATAGCAGCAAAAGCACGGTCATTGGCTTGGATGTGTTGCACATTCTTCAGTTGATCCTGCACAGTACGGCTGTCAGCACCAAACTCATCATGACCCCATGTCACCACGGATGCATCTTCCAGAAGGGCGGCAAAAGCATTGCTCGTGGACTTGATCTGAAGTCTTTGCATGAAAAAGGTCAGTGAGGTGCCATCTACCACGCTGGCACTCTCAAGTGGTAAGCCTGCATCGAGAGGGTTTCCGAATGAGTCGAGTAGCTGCCCCCTTCCGACTCCAAGTGCGGCCTGTGCCCGGCGGTTCAATGCTCCAACTTTTTCAGTCGAGCCGGCTGTCACGGTAGCTGTCTTACCACTGAGCAATCCAACTGTCACGGTAATCGACATGTTGTCCCGCATGTCATGGGACTTCGGTGGCCCCTTTCAAGCACGAAGAGAAATGCTCGGAGCCATAAACTAGAGTTTACACTAAACCCTAAACCCTAAACCCCTAAACCCTAAACTCTTAAACCCTAAACCCTAAACCCCTAAATCCTAAACCCTAAACCCCAGCTTTAGGGCTTTGAGGCTCAGGGTCTTGGGCTTTAGGAGTTTGGGGAGTCATGGGCTTGGCCCGGGCTTGGTCTTAAGATGGGGACCCTTAATGATTACGGTTTAGGGTTTAGGGTTTAGGGTTTGGTTTAGGGTTTAGGGTTTAGGGTTTAGGGCTTTAGTGTCTGGCGTATACTCTAGCGCGCTGGTGTATGAGGGGACGACCCCTGAATTACTGTTCTTCTTTTCCCGACACCAAAGACATCCATGCAATGGGTTGGCATTTTCACTTCGTCATCCATGCCGCTTTCAATATGCAGGGGCTCTGTCCTGAGCAGTTTGTTCTGTTCTGGAACAAGGATCAGTACCTCTGTAAGAACATGAAAGTATGACAGCAGTAAAACCCAGGTAAGCTCTAAGTGTTGTGGTACTACTGTTGATGATATAAATCCTGCATTGCCTTAAGGAACCTCAACTATGGGAATTCTGGTATATTCCTTATCATGGGTAATGCATGATTTATATCATCGACCGTAGTACCCCCAGAAGACAACCCGAAAAACCCACCAAAGCTCGTGCGAAAGCTTTAAGCTCAACCCGTCCATAATTCTGGAAAGCCAAATAAAGTCTAAGTAAAGGTTAAGTGGAAAGACAGCCCCCTCAACAAAAAACTATGAGGGTATCTAAACCCCAAACCCCTAAAATACAAATTGGGGTTTACGTAGGGTTCTAGTCCCCTTAAGCCCAATACCCTGGCCCAAAAAAGCTTAAACTTTTCTTTTAGTAGGGGTTTAATATACAAAAACAGTTTAAAGTTCACCTATTGGGCTCCTGAGAGTCTGATGCAACCCTACGAAAGCTGAAGACACCAGCGACTTTTGGCGCACGCTGCAAGTGTCCCGCGTCCGCTTGATGTTGGCAGAAAGAAGAGAACCCCCCCTAAAGTAACCTTGATAGCACCCATTGTAGTAACACTTTATGGAAGTTCTTAATGTAGGGGCCTTAAAAATTAGAATCGGGTTTTGGGGTACATTATACTGTTTTTGTAATCAGGAACCGCCCAAAAGAGTATAGGAAATTATGAAGGCCCCTTTTTTAGTCGTGGAACCCTCACAGAAACCTTTCTAGAGTGTTTGAGACCTGCTGCCTGGGACCTCCGAGCTGAAGCCACGTGCCAGGAGGCCGCATTTAACCCACAAGTCCCCAAAGACTCCAATACCCCTTAATTCAGGAAGATACCTTAAATTATAGCAGGATCCCTAATATGATTTAAGGTATGATTACTTAATTAAGGGGTATTGGAGTCTCTGGGTCTTTAACAACAAGGCCACGGACAGGCCTCGACTCCCTATGGCTCCCATGTGGGGGTTTAGGGTTTAGGGCCCAGCGCTTGCATTTTAGGGGATCTATTTGGGGGTTTCCGAGAATAGGGGACCCCACAATAGTACCCTAAATAGTAGGATCCTCATCA